TGCAGTGCAAACAAAGGCCCAGAGGGCTCTCCGCAGCTGAGTAGCATCTCCCTCCACCACAGCAGCGAGTGGATCTTGGAAAGTTAAAACTCCAGTCATACTGCTGGTCCTGAGATTTTGGGAATCTACTGTAAGACTATAGGAATAATAGACAAACATTTGATGCTACATTCAAAAAATATTCATGCTCAAAATGCTAACTTTAAATAATTTGTTTGCATATACATATTCCATGTAATTTTGTTACATAAGCACAATGTCAAAAAATTACATTTAATGGAATTTGATTAAGTGAAACTGACTTGATTCAAGGATTCAAACACATACAGCCCACTTTGGTCTTACGTGCGCCACATCAGTGAAACACCCTTTTCTGTCAGTGAAAAGAAGTTTAACTACACAGTGTCTCCCTGAGACATCTCACTATAAGAAAAATAAGGACAGTTTCAACAGTATGATTCAGTTTGTTTGTTTTTCACATGATAAAGAAATGCTGCTGTAGCAAATGACATAAATGTGTCAGCATGAGTCTTTATGGTTAAATTGTAATGAATAAATGTGTAATAGAACAAAATTGCAGGCTAAAGTTGTGGTTGTTCGTTTCCCAGACTGTCTTTTAATAAACCACAAAGTTTTTGTTAATTCACCTAAATGTCCTAAAATGTCTTTTTTTAACAGACAACAAACAGAAATATTTCTATAGTATATATTGGGGAAAAAAGAGAAACTTTTCTGTCATTTAATATATGAAATACTTGAATACTTTGGAAACCCGGCCTTATGTTTACACCCCGACCTGATTGGTATGCATCCAGTTTTAGTATATTTTCTTTAATGATGAATTATTTTAATAAATAAACCTTTGATTTTACATGTTCCAGTGACATGTTACTCAAAAAAGAAATTTGCTTGTTTTTTGTTTTACATGTTTATGTCTGATATTTTTTCATAATAAAGGTTATAATAATAATGGTTAAAACTTAACAGTTGTTCCTGAAATCCCGCAGACTTCTCAGTAGCTCTGGTGGGTTAATATTGTAATTGAGACAATTGTAAAATTCCTCCAGGTTTTCAGGTACTCAGAGAACTGCTTTTGGAGGTCAAAGATCCCATAAAAGCTCAATATGGACAGAATAAGTCATGATGAACCACAGTGCAGAAATGATTAAAGACTCTTGCACATTTACATTATGTGTAGGGTCCAAAGTTAGCAGGTATTAAGTGATTGTGGGGAGGGGCTTCAGGTGAGAGTCAATGTGCTGCAACTTTCAGAAGGCCAACTTTATTCCTTCTGAACAAAGAAAAGAGACGTAGGCAGACAGCCAGAGAAGGACAGAGAGTTGTGAAAATATAGAATCTTAAAGTGAGCGTCCCTTGTTTTAGCGGCCGGGAAACAGAGCGCAGAAAACAAATGAGAAGTAAACAAGCAGCCACAGGAAGCCATTAACAGTAGCCGGGACCAATTAGGCCCCAGCAGGTGTTCTGGCCTTTGCTGCCTCACCTCCATGTCTAACAGAGCCCCGATCTTCTGAGGAAACAAAGGGTAGTTTTATTTGCTCAGCAATTTGAAGCAAAAGATTCCTCCAAAGGGCCTCTGAAGTAATTTATTGCATTCTCTTTTGTCTCCTCCTGCTACTTAAGCGGAAGTCATTACAGAGGACACTTAGATCCCCTTCAAGAAGCCTGACTTTTACAGGATAGGAAGATAAGACAGGATCTTTCTACCATTAGACCCCCTCTATCCAGGCACCCTGTGAAGAGTATAGCTCTCTTTACACCCAGTCAGAAGACACATGTGGAAGTCAAAATCAAAGTCACTCACAGTACAACACAGTAGCTGCAGACAGACATTTCAAGACTACATAAGCTGGAATATAAATAAAGGAAAACAATAATGAATATTCATATCAATATTATAAACCAAGAAACACGTATACCTAATTATGAAATGCTAAAAAAAAAAAATTGATTTTCCAAACTTTTTAATTTTCCATTAAATCAACTTAAAAAGATCTGATCATCATCTGCACTTTGACTAAACCGTGCTCACACTACAGTAGCTATGGATTAGTTTTAGTCTAGCGAACGACTCATACTGTGCACTACATTTATAGGATCAATTTATTCACTGCTGCTGTGAGTATATTAACTATGTGAGTGCAAATTTAGGGGAAAAAAAGAGAGAATGTGAAGTTGACGTTGTTAAAACAAGCTGAAAGTGAAACCTTGAGTTTTTGCTTTACATCTGGAACTTTTCTAGTCTACAAATGGTAAAATACAAGACTCGTGTGACTCTCAGTGAGCAGAACTTTGTCACATTTAATGTCGTCGCCACATTAAAAGAGGCCCACAAACCAGAACAGCACAGGCTCTCTTAAAAGAGCAACGTGCTAAAACAAAGTCCAATTCACTAGACAAATAAGAGGAATCAATAATACCTCATTGAATTCAGCCATAAATGAACGCAGCCACTGTTTACTGAGTGCAGCCAATTCTAAAATTGACACCTTGACTGTCTCAAAGTGCACTGTAATATATCCAGTTTCATACAATTTATTTAATTAATTATTTTTTCATTTTCCTCGGTGCATTAAGCTTCTGTAGGACTGGTGGTCACTTACGGACCAAAAAAACCAAATCATTTCAAATACAGAAGCCGGTGCTGCTGAGCTCAGACCTAATTCTTATTCTTTTTAAACTGCAAAGTTCAGCTGAGGATTTTCCTGAATTACTGCCAGATTCACAGTCGTGGAGAAACTCAAATTTAAATTTCACACGGTCACATTATTTATATATATATATTTTTATATATTTTATTCTCTGACTTTGCTCCGGGTGTCTCATTTCTCTGCTGAAGCTATGACCTCTGTGAGTGGACCTTCCAGTAGCTTAGCACAGCGGCAATGGAGAGCATCGCAGAGGCGTTCATGTAGGCCTCTAGATGGCGCTGTAGGATAATCAAATAAAAAGACACCAAGCGGATGGAAACCGTTTATAAAACATAAAACAGAGACAAGTGTTTTAGTACCGACCAAAAATGTGGACATGCTAAAGTGACTGCTGTGATTATCGTGATCAAAGAACTTTGTTCTCTCACTGTTTTGTTTTTTCTGCAGATGCAGAATGAGTAACTAAATGATTACAAACTGTCTTAAACATTATAGCGTAATTACATCATTTTATAACTTGTTCCAGCTGTGCTTGATGTGGAGGTCCTGGCCTTTTTCTCTGGAACTTGGCTGCTGCCACGAGCTGCCTTCCTCCTCCGGAGCGTTGACTTTATTCCCTGCCTATCAACAGTAAATACCTACTTTAGATGCTGTGGGAGCCTGAGGATTAAAAAAGAATGTTTTTTTTGTTTTTTGTAATCCCATCGTTTGCCAAGAGCATCTTCCCACACAACATCCTGACATTGTGTTCTTGCAATGCGCAGCCAATAAGTAAATAAAAAGAAACAAGACCATATGCTGCAGGAATATGCCCACCTTCACTCCCACTAAGCCTTCATCCTATTCCCTGATCTTCAGTGTGGCTCTTGATAACTCTGAGCATATCATCAGGCAGCAGTGTCCTTTCCGTAATCCAGATAATGAATGGTTCCTAGTAGATGCTGCACAGGGAAGGTTTGTGGACAGATTTCTAATAATACACCTTAATTCAAATGCACTAAATCTGGTAAAAGTGCAAAAAGAAAATGTGAAACCAAAAAAGGAGCGCAGGATGCGGTAGGTGTTATAAAAAGCAAAAAAGGAACGCAAACCTTATGGGAGTGATAGCATGCATGCTGCTGTGTATTGACAGCTTAGGTTTGTGCCTTTTTATACAACGTTTATGTCCCCCCCTTTGTGTTGCATGTATTTGTCATTGTAACTCTGTCCTGAGGTGGGAAAAACCATGAAAACATGCCCACATATATTCTTCATTCCCCTGGTGTCCTCATTATTAGTTATACAACACATGCCAAAGGAGATTACTCTCACTCATGTAATCCTTAAACGAAGAATAAAACATCTTTTAGCTTTTGTGGGAGGACAGCACTCTCAGATCAAAGCCTTCTTTTTGAGGCTGCCTTGTTCCTGGCAAAAAGGCCTCAGTCTTGAGGGGTTCACCCTGGATGACCACAACACTAAAGTTTATTGGCCGACTCAGTTCAGGAAATGTCGGGTTTGTCCTTCCTCACAAAAGCTGCTGGAAACACGGGATTTATCAGTTCCGTTGCCACAGTGATGCCGTCGCGGCACAGCTAAGGGACCTGCAGTTCTCTGCTCTCTCTGCTGTGTGCAAAGTGTCAGTGACACAGTGAAGGCAGCATCCATCTGTGCTCCCTGCCACTATAAATCAGGGGAGGATAATGAAGCTGCCCTGCTGTACCGCGCCACTCTCCCACACAGTGATCACAGTACAGTGTGGTGAACAGAAAGCCCGCAGCCTTTCTTTTTATTTCTTTTTTTTTTTTTTTTACTCCTAATCTAGAAACAGAAGTGTCACTTGGACTGGATGGATTCATGTGTAAACAAATGGTTTGTGGCAAAAGGTGAAAAAAAAGTCCAGCTTGGTCTGGATTTCACAACCCAGATGAAAACAAAAGGGCTTGAAGGGCGGTTTAAAGATAAAGTTTCCACTTTTATCCAAGCCGCCCTTTGCAACTGCCCCCAATCCTTCAAATTGCACTTTTCCTATTGACAACAAGCATTTTAGCTACTTCACAGATAATGATGCAATTCTTACCCCCAGGACAGACTCACTCGTGAATAGCTTGGCTTTGAGGCCCATATGAGCCAGCAATGAATACCAGAGAGACACACACAAACAAGACCGCAATAGAAATGAGACAATAGAAGAGGATTACACAACTTTTGGTCACTAAGCCAGTTGATAATATCACTACAGGAACCATGGAGAACCAAACGAGTCTTGGTACACGCTGTAATGGCTCAGCCATGATCTCAGCATTCAACAACCAAATCACTTGTGAGACTGAAAGGGAAAATCTATTCAGGAGAAAACGCTTTATTGTAGAAGCTTTGCTTGTTTATCCAGATGACACAGTGGAGAAAGTCTGTGGTGTTACACACTGTACAATGACATTTACAGAGTTATGGCCGGACATGTATTTGACACTTGATTATTTGCTGCAGGTTTGAATCCATTCCTGAATGAAACACCTTTAAGAAGAAAACAACTGTGTGTCATATAAAACACCTGTCCCCAACAGGTAATACATCTGCAATAGAGGGAAGAGCGCTTGATTGATGCAGGTATTTGCACTCCAGTTTTATGGCAGCTCTATTGCCAAGATACTGTTTACTGAGAAGAGGCAATACACTAAAAAAATCGGGGTTTTTCCATTAATAAAACGTCTGCCAAACAACAGCATTACCTGAGGTTACGAGCGGAGGTATATGTTTTAAAATGCCTTACCAGTTGTTGGTGTGTGAGCCAAACAAGCTGTCGTGTCTTAAACTTACAACACTCCTCTGTCTGAAATGTGATAGAGTTCAAAATGTACCACACACAGAGTAAAACTCTGGTTACCAAGTTACAGAGAACAATGCTGCAAATGAGAATCTCCATACAAAGGAATTTCAAATATGTATTTGGCCGTGCATAGAAACTGAATTTGTGTTCTGAGGTTTGCATTTGAATGTTAGTTTAACGATCAATACAATGCACTGTGGGCAGGTGTGACTCTAAAAAAACAAACAAAAGCATAAGCCATTTTTTATGGCTTAAATGATCTGCAACTCCAATGTGTGGTTTATTTATTTTTATTTTTTTCTTCTTAAAACAGCCATATTCTGCACCCCTGACCTGGACGACTACCTGAGCAGCATACGTTCAGGATAGTTCACTTCAAACTACAGCTACTTTGCAGCAAGTCCTGTAGATGTGGCATTTCACCAGATTTTAATACCAGTGTGATACGTAAGGTAGTCTGGAGGTAATTTCCTAAAGGGGTCATGCACCTGGGCCCTACAGTACTCTTGTGAACCCTGCTTAACAGGAAATCTAAGACGCTTAGAACACTAATGCCCAAATGGCCTCAGGTAGCTACAGTGGCAACAAAGAGCCTTTAAAACGCTTGTTTGAAAACTGGCCAGAAGTGTAAAAGAAATCTAAATGACTGCAAATTATTATTATTATTATTTTTTTTTTAATTAAGAGGCACAGCACAATACGGCTTTTTAAGATTTAAAAGGATCGAGACAGTTGCATAATTAAAAAAAAGAAAATGTTTTTACTTAAAATTCGCTTAAATTAATGAACTGAAAAGATATGTGACAGTACAAATATTTAGTAAACATTACATACTGTACACCACTGGTAAATCCCTGCAAAGGATATAACCCTCTTATGAGAGGAAAAATAAACAATTCAATTTGGTTTTTAGGAGCAGAGGCAAAGAGCTCTGTTGTTGACAGTTTATTGTTCTCCCACACAAAGGAGCAGACCCCTCTGCCAATCCACAGGCGCCTCACTGAAAAAATAGAAACCACGTGCAAAGGACGAGAATTTAAAGGTATTTAACTAAAACTGAAAGAAATAAAATAATGAACAGGCATCAAACTCCCAAAGCAAATATCCCTGCGAGCCCTAAGCACTGCTGGATACTTTTAAAATCCTGTTTTTGATGGGGAATGTAAATGATTCCCTCTTGACTTTTTATGATTCCAATGGAATTTCCTCATTTCATTCGTTTTCTTAATTAATTGACTTTTTTTAAACGCATTGACATCTATTTTTAATATATATTTCTTTAACAAACTGACATTCATCTGAAGACACGTGGATTTCCTCCCTTTAACGTTTACTTGAAAAGATTAAAATTCAGGATGCCTTTGCAACAGATCTACACCAATTGCACATTGTTCACGAGTCCATCACACTGAGAGTCCCGGCTTAACAACAAGACATCAAAGCCAGGTGTCAGCAGCCTTTGAGGTGCGGAAGTGCGGAAAGTTTGTCGACTTTTCCCAAAGCAGCGGCATTTTCGACCCCTTTTAGCCACTCTTTGCATTTCCTTACAACAGTCTCATCCACATCCCCGTCCTCGTCTTCATACTCCACATCATCGTACTTGTATTGGTCATTCAGCAGAGATATTTTAACGATGGCGGTGATGTCCTGCTCCGCGCTCTCCGCTTTGGCGGCCGGCGCGCAGCCCTTGGACCCCCCGTGCGTCTTTTTGGATGGAAAAACTCGCCGGTGCCGAAAATCGGTGCCGGCGCAACACTTTTGTTGCTTTGCCATCATTTGTTTTTCTAGATTCCGTTTTTGGATGACAAGAATGGCTTCGGGGGTGAGACTGAGTGTAAATTGAATTTCCTTCTTCCCTTCCTCTTTTCCACTGAGTTGTCTCGTGGAGTCCATGGAGCTGGAGCGCCTGACTCCTTCAGATGAATCCTGAGGTTTGGGCACCATCAACCACGACGGCTTTCCCTGGGTCTCTTGCCCGGCACCGGGCTTCTGAGTGGGGCTTTTATTTTTGTCCTGCTGGGGTTTTCGCCCCAAGTTCCTTAAATTCGCCGATGCCCAAGATGTGGGCTGTTTCTCCTTATCCGACCCCCCTCTCTCTCCGCAAGATTTGCTGGTTTGCTCAGTCTGAGGAGGCACTCCGTTGGTTTTCTTTTTCCCGAATAGTTCCCTGCCAGGCGATGAGATCCGTTGGTGGAGGCTGATGGGTGGAAAAGGCATCGTTGTGTCTGGAAGTGGTCAGGATATAAAAGCGTGCAAATTATTTTGAGTGCAGAAGAGGAAGCCCTGCGTAAAGCGACGACCGGCGCTCTGCGGGCATAATCCAACAGAGACAAGGTGGAGGGGGTTGCGGTGCACCTGTTGTCCGCGCTGACTGGAGTTCAACTGGTTCACACAAGGCAGCCCGGCCGCTTTATGCAGGAGCCGGCAGGAAGGCGTGGCAAGAAGCGCCAAACAAAGCCGTGAAAAAAACTGATGATGTCATTTCATAATTTTCAACAACTTCCTCAAACGATGAGCCACATCCACCCAGAGTTCCCCTCATCTCCTGTCACAGCGCCTCTCTGCTGCTTTCCAGTTATTGGATCCATTTCTCGTGCATTATCGTACCTATCATAGGCTTTTCAGGACATAATGAGCCTGAAAACTATGAGTCATCATTGAATGTTTTTCACCACAGTGATGCCATTAAATAACTAAATTTCAACCCAGTAAAAAAGAATTATAAAGCCGAAAAAAAGACTTCTTATAACATTTTTAGCCCATAACGTCTTTATTCGAAATACAAAACTCAAAAAGTTCAACAACAAGTATCAATACTCTGTGATTTATTTGCACTGCCAAAGCATACTTGGATGAAAAGAAAGAGAACTTATGGTCATAATCATGAGTTTAGTCCTTGGTGCTCAGATCAGTGTGTCCTTGAACATATCACAGGAACAATAGCATGCAGTTTCATTGTATCCTTTCAGTCAATATGATCTCAAATGTCAATTATCTGATGTGTATTGACAGTCACTTTTGTTACTCCAGCCATGTAGACTATGAAATAGCATCTCATAGGATACACAAATAATCTGCAATATTGATTTTTCTTTGTCTTTCTTTGCTTCTATCTGCACTTTCTGCCAGGCAGAAATCAATGAGCCCTTTTGCTAATCTGTAGTTATTAAACGATTTTCTATTGCCTGCATATTTTACGGTTTGTGAAACATCTTGGCTTTAAGTCATGCATCAGATGCAGTTGCTCTGGGGATGGGGAAATAAAACTACATTTAAAATGCATGTGTGTTTAATGCTTTTTGAAAATTAACAGTCTTCAGACACTTAGAATCAATAACTGGGACAGCAGCTCCCACCACAACACAGGCCAAGTTATTTATTCATCTCTGCAAGAAGACTTAGATCATTAAGCTAAAGAAGACACACAGACTTGTTTAATTTCAGTGCTCGCCGAGGCATGATCCCTGTTCTCTCTGACATAACAACAGATTAAATGTACTGAAGGGGAAACAGTTGGGACGCTAACAGATTGCTGGGGTCAGGGTTCTTCCCCTTCATCTTCAAACTTTGGTGTAATCCAAAAATGGCTGCTATGGAAAACCAATCAGAAAAAACAAAGACGACAAACTCTCATCTCAAAGAATTATTTTATCCCCCCAAGATTACTTCGAGAGGGATTTACTGGGTCTCTGCCAAGTCAGATAACAATAAGTACTGAGGGGAGATTTCGTAATCCAACAAAAATACAAGTGTCTACCCCCCCCCAAAAAAACCATAAGCGTAGGAAAAAAAGAAAAGAAATGGAATTATTTAATCTGATAAAGCAATTAAGAAAAAAAAAACTAAACAAAACTTGAGCTATGCTCTTATTACGTAGAAAAACACATTTTAGTTTAAATTCCAAAAATGCAAAGGAATCAAGACTGCTGGCCCAAGGACCTCTAAAAAGCAGAAAAACCTTTGTTAGTAGGATGTGAACATCTGCACCACAAATGGGGGTAGGAAAAGGTTATGAGTGTTCTGGAGGAGGTTGTCATGACAACCACATCCTCAAAGGCTACACCATCACGCTGAAGCGGTATAGGGGAACATGATGCCAGCTATATTGGGTTATTAGGTCACGTAAAAATCACAATGCTCAGAAAAGCGTAATTAACTGGGTCACTGCTACATCTGGCAGGAAATCAACCTAAAAAGGAGAAGCATTTTGAACATGATTTCACATGATACACTGAAGATTGAGTGCTTTTTAAATTCTGTTTAGCTGTAGAAAAAAAAAAAATCATATTTCAGGCATTATCAGTGAAGCAGTGACACAATTGCCAAGTGGAAAACATCAACATGGAATAGCATCTCAGAGCATTTTTGCACATCACACACACACGCACGCACAAGAGAGAGAGATAATGCTCTGACAACGTTTGCATGTAGGAAGCCAGATGACAATTAATTTGTATACTGCTCAAAATGCAAATATAGAACCTGACTTAAATTTGAACTGGTTTCTTCCTGCTGCATATAATCAGAAGGCACTTTTGTTGTATTTGACCACATACCAGACTCAACATCAGTTTCTGCACTTAAATGGCATAAATACACTCAGAAAATTCAGGAATATTTTTAAATATATTAACCATTAAAGGCACCCATTACTCATGTCAAAAGCAAAAGACTGATACCTATTATCTGGTGATAGTTATAGACCTTTAGCTACACTTAAAAAGCAAGACTTCACAGTATGAAAGCCATAATAAAAATTTGGAAATATAATGTATATACAGTATCATGTATATTTTACAAAGCCTCTTGTTCGCAGTTTGCATATTAGGACCAGTCTTGATAGGAAACTTTGGAGTCCTAACTCAGACAGGTCGTGAAGCACTTGATCACAGCATCCCTGTCAAAACAAATAAAAGAGAGAAACAGAAAAAAAGCAATTAAGAAATGAAAGGAAAAACTAAATATAGCAAAGACAAAATTCTGCCATACGTACAAAATTAAAAGCGACAATGAGTCCATTTTTACGATAATCTGGGTGGGGCTCATCATGAATAAGTGAGCGTGTTTTGGCGGGGATGGGACCACATGCTCAGAATGATGGGGGCTTCCTTTTCTTTTTTTTCCCCCAGGTACACCAAGTTGAAGGATGATGCAATGCGATCCGTCACCATGGCGACCACAGATCATTGCCTACTCTATTTCGCTTCACACAGTTTGTTCTTGCCATCAGTGGTTGCTATGCAGACTTCGCCTGCAGACACGTTCGAAATTGGAAGGAGGAGGTGCGAAACCCGTCAAGGTTAAAAGAACAAGGGGGATCATGAGCAGTCTGACAGGGAGGAGGGGAGGCCGCAGGAGAGAAGGGTTGCTTCCTTAAATGCTTTTTTTTTTTTTTTGGATAAAAACCAAAGCAAAAAAACCCACCTAAAACAAACCAACCAACCTCTTCTGTGTTTTTAAAAATATATCAGTTAAAGCTTATTGTCATTTCCACTGCATAAATAAATTATCAATCTCAAGGGCTTTCCCCAATTTCTGATTAGATGTCTGAGCCAACAGCAGCCTTAAAGTGCTGTGGGACGTGCACAGGCAGCAGGTTTTAGTATCTCTCTCTGCATGTGTGAGGGGATATAAATAGGAAACAAGGTAAAATACATTAAAGGATCAAGTCCACTGGCCATGTGTTATGGCAGTGGCCAGCCAGGTATCGGAGACTGTTGGAACACAGACAGGGATGGGAAGTACTATAGCATTGTGTCACCCCATAAAATCATGAGATCAAAATATGCAGAAACAACTTAAAACAACAGAGACCGAAGCAATCAAGTCTGAATTAAATGAAAAATGGATTAAAGTAAGAGGCTTAAGGAGACAGAACACAAATGTGTTGACAAATAACATAAGAAACACAGCAGTAACAAAGAAGCAGCTGATTGGCAGCATTTTAGTATCAAGCCCAAAAAAGAAACAAAGCCCTGCCATAAAATTTGCATTCCTCTACAGGAATTTGTTTTTTGGGGAGTGACATGGGAAAAGGTCTTTGTCTAGGCCTCGTTTTGTTGTTAGCTTTTGGGCTGGGGGAGGGGGAGCTTGAGGTTGTTAAAAGGACGTCCCTCAGCTGTCAGGATGGATTATAGGGTCGCCCAAACACACAAGATACTTAGTGGGTGGGGGCTGCATGGGGGCTCTGGACCAAATGAGCTATAACCCAACTTACATCTGAACTGACAAAACATCACACCTCATGCCTGGCCTGGAGGTAAAGCACTGAGGTGGTACAGCATATGGCACCGAAGTGAACACTTTTGGTACAGTGGAGAATTTTTTTGCTTTTAAAGAAAAGCTGCAAAACATTAAGACACCTGTGACAACGACTTATGACACTGCAGGCTTTTTGTCTTTGATGCAGCACAGCTTAGCCAGATCTAATCAGAAATTTGCATTGTGCCTTAACCCTGTAAAGCTTAACACAAGCTTATTATATGCAACGTAAAAGCTACATTAAGGAAAATATTTTTGGCAAATCAGATTCAAAGAGCATTATTTCATTTAGAAAAAAAAAGCCACTTCATTGTGATATTATGGATTTAGCAATGATGTCACAGCACTAAAGCATGGATGGTGTGAAAACAACAGGCTGCCATTTGTTTGACACCAAGAGCCTACACTGATCGTAATGGGGGATTAGAGCCATATGGTGGACGCAAACAAGAGAAATACGTAAATAAAAAAACATGTTTTCATTGAAGGGTCATGCACGCCAGAGAGTACGAGCACATATCCATATATCAAGGCAAAGCATGCAAAGTATAATCCTGTCATCTTACCTGGCAAATGGAATATAAGAGATGCTATACCTGAAAGAGAAGAAACACACAAAAGGATGAGGGAAAATACTGGTGATGGTGGGATATTTTTAGGACAGATATTGATTGTAGAAGATACTAATTACGAATGAACTGTGCATGTCATGTACCAGTTTAAGCAGATTACCTGTATTTAAAGTCCTTTGCATTAGTATTCACCTACTGATGAAGAATGAATGAATGTGTCCCTTAGCTCATTTTAAATTTGATTCAATGTTTACATTTATTTTATTATTTAAGGCCACTACAACAAAATACGTTGAACTAACTAGTTGTCCTGTAAATTCCTTTTTAAATCTTTCCAGGAACTGAAATCTGATACGACAATGCTTATGACAAAGGTTCTTTTATATCACTTAGCAGTTTTATCACCATCCCTCTTCCCCGCTCTTTTTCTTCTTTCTCCATTTTCTTTTCCCCCAGTCAAGTCTGTGCCGTGTTCAGCAAATGAAAATAAAATAAACAATAAAAGGTGAATCAAATAGACCAATACGGCAAGG